AGGAGAAATGCAGCCCAGAGATGTTTAAAAAAACAACAACACACAAAACTGTATCTGCTCACATCACTTAGCAGCTAAATCCCTTCCTTGGCCCTCACTGTGTTTAACTTACAAGGTTCTCCCTGACCCCAGCCCTGCTGTCCCTATGGGCCCTGCCTAACTCTTACCTCTCAATTCCAGCCACAGGGACCTCACCTGCAGCTCCCTGGAGCACCAAGCTCTCTTCTGCAGCCAAGGTCAGCACCCCTCCCCCACGGTAATGGCCCTCCCTGACCAGCCCCTCTTCAGTCCCAGGTCACACAAAGCCCCATCACAGCAGTCATCATGCACGCTTTGGCCCGGGACACAGCATTCGCCTAGAGTGGCCCACTCCAGCACGGAGCAGCGGAGGGCACAAGACGACTCACGAGAAATAACTGATGGCGGAACGATGCTAAGTCTTAAACACACTTGACAGTCCAGCTATAAAACATGTTCCTAACATATTCCTCAGTATTTGAAAGTCTTAATTGTAATTAGGGAATGTTTACTAAAGTTTTGAAAGCCATACAAGAAGACTTTAGTGAGCAGCCAGAATGACAAGCAGCTCGAGAGAAAGATTTACCCACCTTAGAGGTGGCCATAGAGTAACAAGGGGGATGCCGGGAGTCCAGCACCTTTGATTGTGACTGTCTCCTGACAGCTAGGCTGGGCCTTCCTCACTTTCCATCCCCAGAAACTTTAGGTTCTCCCAGGCCAGCACCTAGTCAAGCCTGGGCCATGCATAAGGTGGCAGGGAGCTTCTTTGGTGTTCCCACAGCTCAACCACAAGCCCATGATCCCGGATCCTCACAGAGAAATCTCCCCTTCTCCAAAGCAGCACCTGGTGGCCACCTGGCTACTAGCTTCTTGTCATCTAGATGAGGCATCCTGGGTGCTTAAGAAGCCGAGACTCCATGCTTTCGAGGTGTGTCCCCAAACTGACCCCAGGGGGAGGTGGGATCCACCACCGACTGCCTATGCCATTGGGGAAGGGATATCAGAGAGAGGATGCCAGGCAGGAAAATTAAAGGGGGGAGGCATCCCCTTACTCCTCCTCACAGGAAAATAAAAAAGATCCCTTTCCAAGCACCAGCTGGCAGGTAGGAGCCTGTCTCCCACCTGTCTGGACATCTAGTCCTAAAAGGAACTCAGACTCTATCAGTCCCTCCCCTGCCACAGCCCAGCCTGGGCAAAAGTTTACCTTTGGGGGTGGGGGCACAAGAGGGACAGCAGCCAGCCAGCCATAGCAGGACACTGGGCCTCAGATGTAATCACAACACTGTCTTCCACCAGAAGAGGGAACAAGTATTATTTTGTGGGGAAAGGGAGGGCTCACAGGAGTGTGAAGGGGGAGGAGAGGGCCCAGTCTGGCTGTAATTAACTGGCCTGCTTCAAAAACAATGGTGGGGAGAGGGACTGGGGAGGGTGACAGGACGGGATGGAATGGGTCATTGGGGAGAAAAAGGGACACCTGGAATATTTTAAACAAAAATAAAATTAAAAAAAAAAAAAGAGTCGTCGAGATGGCCTGATATGTAAGGCAGAGGGTGGTCGCAGAGCCGCCCCCCTCAGCCCGGGGTCAGCACGGGGCAGGGGTAGTAGGGTCAGGAAGGAAAGCGAGGGCTGGAGCCAAGGCGCAGGGCGGACCCCTCCAGGAAAAGCTCCCGTGAAGGTGTCAGGGGCGGCTCGCCCGAAAGGCGGCGGGGATGGAAGCCTGGC